ATGACAGTGACCCTCCCCAGCAGTCGGGCACCAACCACAGCAGCTTGCGGCCAGTGCCAGCTGGAAATGGGGTGGGGAGGCAGGTCCCTGCCGGCTGAGAGCTGGCGCACAGTAGGGGCTGTGCTGATGGACCAGCAGGGAGAGTGGCCAGTCTCATGCATTGTATCTTCACCCTGCCACCTGCTTTGTACACCTACCCCCATCACTGGCTACTGGACCTGTCTGCTGGGCGGGCAGCTGGTGAGCAGGGATCTGTCCAGCAGCAGTTGCTGCCAGTACTGGTAAGGAAAGACAGCAACTTTGGGACAATTTATCCAATTTTAAGGAAAAGTTGGATGTCCTGTAGGATCTCCTGAATATAGGACTGTCCCTTTAAAAATGGGACATCTGGTCATCCTAACTAAGGGTGCATCTAGACAGCAGCACTATTTTGGGATACTTTTGGTATCCCAAAATAGTATTTTCTGTGTCTTGACAGCACACCCATTATTTCGAAATAGTGTTTGAAATTACAAGCACACTATTCCCATGTCCCTGTAAATGAGGATTAAGGGACTTTTGGAATAGCACTCTATTTTGAAATTTGGTGCAACGTAGACAGTGCCAAATTTTGAAATAAGCTATTTCGAAATTAACTCAAAATAGGACATGCAATTTGCTTATTTTGAGCTAACGGTACCGTGTAGACACATCTTAAAATGTTTACATTATAAAACACGTTTTCAGTTTCTCACTGCTTTCTGAAACTTTCACCTTCTGAGTTCAAATTTTCTGGGTGTCCCCTCTGAGTGAGCATTTATTGAAATGCATGTGTCTGATTTTCCTAAGACAGACAAGGTGGGCAAGGTAATCCTTTTCGTGGGATTCACTTCTGCTGGGGGAAGGGACAAGCTTTCAAGATCCACTGAGTTCTTTAGGACTCTCTGTTTCTCCTGTCATAAGCCAAAAGTAACTGAGCTTAAGTCAGTGATGTTAGACAATACAGAATCTGTATAAGTCAAAGGAGACTCAGACTCTATGCAGTTCTCTCTATATAATGCCTTCATACAGACATGCATATGGACTTGAAGAGCCCAGCAAACATGTTTACTTAAACTTGTTCAAATGTTTCCTTTTTACAGAAACCAACAAAAACTATGTCAAACAAAATCTTGGGCCAGTACCCTGGAGAAACCACACAGGCTGCTTAAGAACAGCCGCACTGGGTCAGACCAAAGGTCCATCTAGCCCAGTACCCTGTCTGCCAACAGTGGCTAATCGGCAGGTGCCCTAGAGGGAATGAAAAGAACAGGTAACTATCAAGTGATCCATCCTCTGTCGCCCATTCCCAGTTTCTAGCAAACAGAAGCTAGGGATTTAAAAAACAATAAGTGGTACCTTAGAGACTAACTAAAAGAATATAGATGGTATCATGAGCTTTCATGGGCACAACCCACTTCTTCAGATGAGTGGAGCAAGAGGCACAGAGAGGCAGCACAGAAACCCCAAAATTTAAAGCAGAAAAAAAGAGAAGGGGAGGAGAAAAAAACCCTGTCAGTTATAGCATCCATGCTAAATGAGGTTAATAGAATGGACTGTAAGTGTCCAATACTTAGTTTTTTTATGTCATTTGGATGTTGAATATAAGGACCCATCCAGTTAATACCTTTGTTTAATCCCTGATTTAAGGTGTCAAATTTGCATATGAAGGCCAGTTTTGCAGTCTCTCTCGCTCTAGTTGGTTCCTGAGATTTCTTTGCAAAAGAATGGCTACTTTTAAATCCATTAATGAGTGCCCAGATAAGTTAAAAAGTTGCCAAACAGGTTTTTGTGTATTACCATTTTGAATATCTAATTTGTTTCCATTAATCCTTTGTCATAGAGACTGTTATTGTCAAAGGCCAATAGGGGGTTGTCTGTAGGTGAGGACTGTCCTGTCACACAAGCTTTAGGAGACAGGCCAATCCTTGCCTATAGACAACCCCCTACCCTGAAGCAAATTCTTTCAGCAACAATGCATCATACCTCAGACATACTGCAATATAGTCATGGTCTTCATAATATCCTCTGGTAAGGAGTTCCACAAGTTAACTATGTGTTGTGTGAAAAAATACAAGTTCCAGGGGTACTCCCTTCGGTCAAGTTCCAGGGGTGTAGGACAAGTATAATTCATCTATACAACTATGTGGTTAGAAAATATCTAGCTGTAGAAACTTGAGAGAAGTAAAGAGAGCAGGCTATCAGAGAACATCAATTATAATAATCTTGTTGGGTACTTTTATTGGTTTGGATAGCACTTTATAATCATTTGCCACATATTATAAACTTATGTGTGTATCTGGTTCTTATAAAATAATTATAGATCCATGGGATTTTATCTATGATTTACTCTGACTCTTAGCTTGGAGGATGGTTAGGCCTTTTGGACATTACTGAAAGACGCAGACATGTCTTAAACTTCATATGTTTAAAATGATCTGGCACTCTAGTTTAACATCCTGTCTATTATGAGTTTCATTTTTAAATTTAGTTTCTAAAGACGGGACCATTTCCCCGGATGACATATGTTGG